GGGAAGGTATTCCTGTCTTCCTACCTGAGTTGCCAACCTCTGTCTGGGGTACTACAAGAATCAATTCATTGGTAGCATAACTGTAGATGGCTTCTACTCCTATACCAATCTCATACTCTGTGATCTTCCCCCTGTTTCCTGTGTTATCATAGTACTCTTCAACTTCCACTGTTCTGTTCTTGTCTACAAAATTGCACTCCACCCTAACATGCCAAGAGTCTGGCAGATCAGGAATAGGGGGGCTGGGAGGACCTGAGATGATGATAATAATAATAATAATAATAATGAATCATTTTATGGTGTATACCATTATTATCTCAATGTCACTTATATAATTTCTAAAATTCATAGAAAACTTTAACAATAAAATGACAATATCACTAAAAAAAAGCATATGATATAATGTTGTTAGAGAGATTTTAGACAATAGATGTATGCCTTTTCATTTCTGTCATGATGGCAAAAGAAAAGTAGCTTGTGAAAGCAAGTAAAACTCCCTAAATTCTCCCAGTTCAAACCAAAACAAATTTCCTGCAATTGGCAGAAGCAAAAATGAAAATCATACCAGAGAAGAAATAATAACAAAAATGCAAATACTGTAATGTCTATTGAATAACCCAATTGCAAGTACCTGTGTTAGCATTAGGATCACACACAGACGTGTCTGGCGTCTGTCCACGGCATACTGACCATGATATAGAAAGACAAAACAATGGCCACAACAACTTCATGATGATTCTGAAAAAGAGTGAACAGGAATATCATATTCATAAGACATTTTCTGTTTTCCATGTGACACAGAGTATTTAGGAATGCCAAATTAGTGAATTACAAATCAAACAAAAATTTACGCGTTGCAAACCTCATTTCCAAATATAACTCACTGATAGGGCAAAATACAGATTAGTTTGCCTAGCATTCATATATAATTTCTGAGGTAATGGTTTCCTCAGTTATTTCAATTATATCAAATAACTTTTAGTAAGATTATTGCCGACATGCCTTGATTACAGCCAAGTCTTTCAGTAACCTACATACACTAACTACAACAACAAAGAAGGCGCACGTATATTTAAAAACTTTCTCTTATCTAATCTGTAATTTTTTTCATTTCTAGTAAAACAAAGATTATTCCTCATACTTACCCTGGTCCTGAATTGCTGCGACTGGCACTCAAGATGGTCTCATGTCTGTCACACACCCCCTAGTCCAAAGGTGCAGAATTAGACACTCCGAAAGCCATGGGCACCTAACCTAAGAGCTAATTGTTATCACAACTTATCAGTCCTGAACAAACATTTATCATTGATGAAGCAACAGGTCAAGGGATTTGTTTGATAGCCACCCCATTTTGATAATATGTAACACTATTGAAATGCGGCAGGGTTTAAGGCGTTATATTGGTTAGATCCATTGTATATACACCTTTTGGCTAGCAAAGAATATGATTAATTAATGTATGGTGCTAAAAATCTAATCTAATTCACAGATTCAATATCCTTCGCCAATTGCTATGAGAGCACTTTGATATCTGAAAAGGTTGAAAATATAATTAAACCATAAAACAATTGCTATCTAGTTGTCAGCATGTCAACCTACTTTTAAATTAATTTACTTTTACTAAGTCTTAGGTAATTTTCTTTTTCTCTTTTTTTATTTTATTTTAATTCGGGAATTGCCATTTGGATGTTAAGAACCAGTCGACATTTTTAGAATTCTGATTCGGTCAGGAAATTTCAATACTTTATCATTTCAACTACCTACATACACCACCCACAACAGATAGTAGTAGGTACAGTACCGACTGTTAACGGCACCCTACACAACCCATATCAGTAAGAAGACTACAGTGCCTGACACCATATGATACCTGAATCAGTGGGAACGTCTTCTGGTCCTAGGCATGTAGTTTATACAAATATCAGAGGCTGCAGTTATTTGAATCTATTTTAATGTGAATCACACATTTTTTTAACTACTACTGATGCTGACATTCTTGTCAATCGGTTATCAAAAGGGGTTTTAAGGTCAAGAACTACAACCTGAGGGAGGACCATTTCAATGAAATCAACCTGTCATATCGTCTTCAGAAGTACCCTTCATGCATTTGCTTTGTGTGGACTCTGTACAAAAAATATGACATTTTACTTAGAGTTTTTTAAAGTGCCATTCGATATTTCAAAATATCATTGTGGGATTTACAGGAAAAAATATGGAAAATCGAAGATATTTTTGTGGGTTTGTCAACAAAAGATACACCTGAAAAGTAATAAACAAATTTGGTAAATATAAAATACTCTATTGTTATGTTTCACAAAAGAAAAAATTGGTATAAATCTGATAAATTTGATTGATAAATTTATTTGATAAATCTGCATTTTCTATAGAAAAAATTCTTTTCATAAATGTGAAACAGAATATCTATGCTACAGTGTAATACGTAATGGAATTACTTGATGGGCAGGGATAAGTGATTATTCAACATCACATGTTGAATGAATGAATGACCTTATGTCATCTTACCCTTTGTACACAAATCACAAGCATGGCTTTTCAATTTTCTCCTTCTCTCTCTCTCTCTCTCTGTGTGTGTGTGTGTGAGTGTGTGTGTGTGAGTGTGTAATGCTCTCTGCATAAATAGACTCATTTCAAATTGAAATTGTTAAAATTTTAAAACAGCCTCTAATTTGAGCTAATTACTTTAAATTTTAAATAACTGATGTTGAATAAAACAGTACTCAGAAATGTTCCTGAACCTTTAATCCTCTCATAAAATAATCACTGACATTGAATTCCAGTGTGTTCCGTTCTTTAAAATGGGTGAAAATGTTCATGTTGTCACGTCTAATAAAATGAAGGCACATGGAGTCATATTATGACAAAGAAACTGATCCAAACAGCCCAGTTTCAAAATCAGGTCTTTAAATCAACCACACCGAATAGATTTGAAGTAGTTAAATGAAACTAGTTTTACCACTCATCTTTCCAATTTATTGAAAGGAAATGTACATTTCAACCATGTGTAGACAAATGAATAAAAATTACTTTATTTTCAGAGTTAGTACAATATCAACCAATTCTTTTTTTAAATTCTGACTGGCATAAAGAATGTCTTGTCAATAAACAAAATAATGTCACTCACCAAATCAATGCCATTTTTGTTTCACTTTTACACTCAAAATAAACACAGTCACAATTATGTTCATCCCTGTATAAATCCACATGAAATGATGATAATATATGCATAAAACAAGGTCAGAATGACACACCAGTGGAAGTTATCATGAGATATGAATACTGTCTGATCCAAATGTACCTCCTGTGAAATGTGGTAATAGTGATGCTTGTGTCAAATTGTATGCCGCTCTTGCATTGTCCATTTAGCTTGTCAGTGACTCTCTCCCTTTTTACCAGCCACCTGGAATATTTAGCATTTTAAAAGGTTATGATTTAATTGAGCAAGCCAAAATATTTAAATATGAAGGAAAAAAAAAAGAAAAAAAAACTGCATAATTTCAGTGCAATGTGAGCAAGTAAAACATGTAAACGTAGTGCTTTACAGAGAAAACTTTTACAAAGGGATAGTGAAAAGGCTTTTTAATCTTCTAAATCTTTCTCTTATCTTTTTAGATAATACAATCTTATATTTCTAAACCATATCACAAGTTATGAAAGCAATACGAATGCTCATACTGCACTTTTATGAGAAGTGTAACTGCAATGATTGAATGTACTATTTACTCTGAAATGAAAAAGGCTTTAATATAGATATCTATAAGATATTTCTGACTTTGAAACTCAATGTAAGTTATAAATGTCTAAAAGTGACCAAAAGTTGTAACACTTGGAAAATCAATAGTAAAATTACACTAAGACAGCATTCCCACATCTGGATCGACCTAACACCCTGGGGGTCCACGCTAAATTGCTGTCAGCCAAGCGCGTTAATTACCCCCTTACAGCTTTTAGTAGGCGGGACAGATATTTAAGCCGGCTAAGCCGACAGCAATCTAGTGAGACTCCCCATGGGGATAAATCGATCTAAAAATCTGTGGGAATACAGTCTTAGTCTTGTATCACACACTCACCCTCTTAAAAGCTGCCATATCAGTTTTGCCAACAGGTGTTCCATAGACTGTGAAAGCATCTACTTGAGTGACTTCTGTACCTGCCTGGTTATCCTTGATAAATATCTAAAACAAGGCAGCAAAGCTGTCAAATGTACCGACAAAAAGCAGAAAATAAAGATGCTGAAAATAAGTCATTTTGTCAATTTTGATACAATAATTAATGTTTAATACAGCAAAATCAATCAACATTAAATTGGAATCATGCAGGACGGGAAACATGATCAATGAGATTACAGTTACAGGACCTTGAGAGTTGAAATTCACATAATAAAAATCCCAATATATGAAAAATTATGACAGTGCATAAAATAATATTACATAATGTTTAATGGCATAAATACCAATACTATTGCTTATGTGGAAATACAGAAAATGTACAGAACTTCAGGTGGGTGAGAGTTAAAAGCCACACCCTTAAAATGCCAGTGTTTGAAAAATAAAAAAAATTAAAAAGAATACATAAAAATATTCTGATAAAGCTGCTGTTCAAACTTTAAATTCAACTGTCAACATGATATGAATAACCCCACTGAGGTTGGGGACAATAAGGCACTGCAGGGAATCTCAACATGTGTGTTTTATCTAATCTCATTTAATGGCCACTTAAAACTTAATTAGGCAGGTGACTTAACAGTTCTGACATTAGCTGACAATTACCTAAGGGACAATTACAGACTGACCACCCACTGTAGCCATATGGCACCAAATAAAAGATTATGTGAAATAATGCACAAAATAAAATATTGTCCATTTTGATGCAATAATACATTATGCTTCACTGCATAGTCAACATCAAATTATAATTATACACAACAGAAAATGCCAGTACATCCCTGCACCAATACTTCCCTGCACCGATACTCCCCTCACAATTACAGATATACTGAGGGGGAGTATCTGTGCGGGGAAGTACCGGTGCAGGAATCTATGCGTGTGGGGTTGTATTGATGCGCATAATACAAAAAATTACTAAGGAGGATTATCTGTGCGAAGGAGTATCAGTGCGGGGGAGTAACGGTGCGGAGGAGTATCAACATGACCCCACTCATTTAAACTAATTTTTCTCAATGTCTCCAAATGGACAGGTGTTTTTGATTTATCTCATTTAAAAGAGGAGACTTTGAACTTAAAAGTGTAAGTGTTAAATCAATTTGTATATTTTGGAGAAAAAAGTAATAATGCATTAGAAGAAAATATGTGATATGGGCTATTGCATAGTCACTGAAGCAGAACTATATACTATCAAACACTCAAATTTAGAAATATCTACAATAGTTTACATATTATCTTTCAGAATAAATTTCCTATGATGTTGTTATACTGTAAGATATTATTTTTGGTGTAAATGAAACTATTTTATACAGTTATTCTTTAATTGTTGACATCCCAGCTTCAGACTAGTTTTCAAGTCTCCATGCAGATACCAGCATGTTGTGTTGTCATTTCAAAAATACCTACAGCTAACTAAATAGCCATATCATGCATCTGTCCAAAAACTTGGTTTTATTATAATGTTTTTGTTTTTTATTTTTGTAGGTCAGAAAAGTTACGTTTAGCATCCAAACCCAATATAGAGGTACAAATAATGTCACAGGCATGCTCTCAAAAAATGTTCAATGCATGGATTAGAAACTCAGTTTGGTAATTTTTATGGTCCCACATGAAGAAAAGTTTGTATCTAAGTTTCACCATCCTGAAACCACTTGAATGAAAATTAATCCATGGTCTAACCCTAATATTACAGTCACAAATGAAAAACTTCCTAACTGTGAAATTTGAAAATTTAATCAGTGCTGATTTTCTTTTTTTAATCTATTTTTTTACAATTTTTTACCTGATAGATCTATATTGCACATGCCGTATCAGACAAGTTAGGTAAATCTCACAACATTTTCCAAAAATTTAGAAAATGTAACTAGCACAGGGTTTA